TTGGAGACAAGAACAATTTCATCACTTTCTACACTCTATAATCCCCTTATCACAAACGCAAATGCTGCTAATTGAATTATATATGCTTAGCCACAAAGTTAATTCATTTACTCATCTGCCTGTATGTCAAGGGAGTGAGGTGGATGGACTCTACTAAGAATAGCTGCTGAGGTTAATGTGTTTAATCAGAACAACTTATCTCACATATATATGCATAAATACTCTACATAAAGGGAATCTGTGTGAGGGTCACTTAAAGGAAGCAGGGGAGAGGCATTTAGCCTGAAAAAGATAAAGCCTAGAGGAGGGGACGATATTTCCCAATATTTGAAGAGCTACACTTCTGTTAGGCTCCAGAAGGCAGAGCCAAGAGCCAGGGGTATGAGGTACTGTGCAGTTTTCTTTGGTGACACTAGTTTGTCTTCAAATTCTAGCAGGGGCCTGGTCTGTCAAGGACATTGACAATAGCTGAACCTCGAGTATGTCCAGTGTTGCTCTTAGCTGAAGTGATGTATTTTAGGCATGGCATTGGGAACAATTTCCTGTTAATTAGAGCCCTTTACAAGTAGAATGGATTGCAGTAGGAAAGAGTGGGATTTTCATTGAAGGTGTTTATGTTGAGGCTGGATGACCAGGTAAGTCAGTCAGTTGGCTACATTTATTAAGCACCTACCATTAAAAGACACGTGTTCCTTGGAAGGAAAGCTATGGTAAATCTGGAGAGCATGCTAAAAAACAGAGACATCATCTAGCCAACTAAAGTCCAATAGGTCAAAGCTATGGTTTTTCCAGTAGCAATGGATGGCTGTGAGAGTTGGATTATAAAGAAAGCTGAGTACCACAGAACTGATGCTTTCAAACTGTGGTGCTGGAGAAGACTTTTGAGAGTCCCTTGAACAGCAAGGAGATCAAATCAGTCAATACTTAAAGAAATTAATTTGGGCTATTCACTGGAAGGTCAAATACTGAAGCTGAAGCTTAAGTACTTTGGCCACATAATGAAAAGATGGGACTCATTGGAAAAGACCATGATGTTGGAAAAGATTGAAGGCAAAAGGGAAAAAGGATGGCAGATGATCAGATGGATAGATAGTATCACAGAAACAATGAACATGAACTTGGACAGACTTTGAAAGATAGCAGAGGATAGTAGGGCCTGGCATACTACGGTTCACGGGGTCACAAAAAGTCAGACATGACTGAACAACAGCAAAACTATATGCTAGGCACTGTGTTGCTAATTACTTGTTGGGTATGTTGTAGTAGGAATTCCTTTGGAAATATGACTTAGACCAGATGGATACTGAGGGTGAGATTTTTTTCCTACTCTAATATTTAGTGATTCTGCACTACAAGATCTTAAAACAAACTTTCTGGCAAAGATGAGTACAGAAAGTTTTGATTGTGGCTACTCTGACTAAAAATCATCAATAGTTCTCCATCACCTATGGAATAAAGTATAAGCTCTTTTACCTTTACCAGGCATCCAAGGCCCACCATGTTTTGGCCAAATCTGCCTTTCCATCCTTCCATCCTCCTACTCACCTTTAGCCACCTGGTATTCTAGCTAATTCAAGTTTTATTTAGATTACATGTCTTTCATTGTGCCTATGATGATGCTTTCTCCTCTTCTGGGATGCTCTTTTCTCTCACCTCTAGCTGTTCCATTCCATTCAGTTCAAATGTTGCCCCTGTCAGAAATGATCACTCCCTTCCTAAACTCCCATAAAACTTTGGTTTCTTGAGAGAATTACAGTGTGGTATAGTAGAAATAACTCTGTTTTAAAAAAAACATTGGTCAGGGTTCAAATCCAGACTCGTGAGACTCTTCTTAAAGTTTAACCTTAATCCTTTCTAGTGAATTTTAAACTCATTCCCACTTTTGTCACCTTTAATCTTTAGTAAATACTAAGCAGAACTGAGGTACTTCTCTTTTCCTAGAATTCTTCTCTTATTCAGGCATGCCCTCCTGAACATCACCAGTGGATATGAAAACATAACATTATGGAGGGCAGGATAGGAAATTATGAGTAAGACATTAAATAGACAAGATAATGGAATCGAAGCCACAGAGAAACTAGATATCATCACCAGCTATCCCAGAATCCCAGCTATCTTTGGCTATCAGCTTAATGATGTTATATTGTGCTTTCAGTATTTTATGATGGTTCTCCTATATTAGTAGCATTATTACAAGGGTGTATTAATTTGGGCTATATTATGTTGATTATGCCTGTATTTAAAAGAGCAGTGGTCCATAAATGTAATATAAAGAGGACTTGCCTTGCCAGAATCCTTGTATTTGAGCCATGTACTTGATATATACCAGCTGTTAAGCCTGGTCAAATCACTTAACTTCTCTTAATCTCTCTTCTTCATCTGTAAAGTGTTTGAATAATAACAGTATTACCTTACCTCATAGGACTAGGAAAAAAGGTGCTTTGTTACCTTGCTGTGCTGAAGAAATGTAGAAATATTATTGATATTATTTTTCTTGTTATAATAATCATCATGTTCCTTTGGATATGGTGCTCCACCCATATATAGGCATGGCCTGCCTAATGCTATTGATTGGTTCCATGAAAACATGATTTTATGCAAAAGATGCCAAGGAGAGCTGACCGTGTCTGCTGATTTTATAAATCTGTGAGTGGCTCGAGGACATCATAACACAGTTTCAGTTCCTTATGTGAGCATTTGATTGTAGCTGTGAAACGATGTTGCTCAGGGCAACTTTGTGTGGGGTATATGTGGAAATTATAGATCCCTCAATTTTTGACATATTGTCAAAATGGAGTAATCATGTTGATCCAAATATAGTCTCCTATTTTCACCCTAAGCAGGAGGGGACCTTAACAATCACTTAGTCCAGTCCCCTCATATTTCAGATGAGATTTCATCTGGAAGTCTCAGAAAGATTTTCCTAAGTTCATATAAGAAGTTAAAAGGAGATCTTGTATTTGAACCCAGATCTCCTGGTTTCAAATCCAATGTTCTTTCTGGTATAAAATTTGACTGTGTTTTTTTTCCTCTTCTTAGTATCAGGGGTAGAGAAGAAAGCAATAGTAAAAGGATTGAAAATGAAGATAGCCATCATGAAACAAGTGAAATTAAATATTTACATTTAATTAAGGATAAAAATTAACTTTCTTAGGGATTATATTTTATTCACATGACCATTTCTTAGAATTATAGGGTCATAGATAACAGAACATAGAGCTGGAAAGGACAATCTTCATTTCAGAGATGAAGAAACTGGGACCCAGAGTGGATGTGATTTGACCAATCTCACACTGCTAATTGTTAGGCCAGGATTCAAACCCAGGTGTACAAATTCCGAGTCCAGTGCTTTTACCTCTACATCATTTTTTGTGATGTTACTAGATACATATTTTTCCCCCTTTAAAAGAGATTTCATTTTAAGTGTATAGCCTATATTTGAGGGTGAACTGTCTTCAGACTGATCTGGTGCATATATAGTTCCCCTAGAATTATCCACAGTCACTACAACTATATAATTTTTTCCCTTGTATTCCCTGTGCTTAGCACAATGTTTGGCATGTAGTAAATACTTAATAAAAGTTTTTTCATTCATTTATTCATTCATCCATCCATCCATCCATCCTTTCATCCCCCCAACCATCCACCCATTCACTCATTCATTGTTGATCTCTTTCTTGGGTGACCCTTCACTTACTGTTTCCCTATCTCCTGGTTCTACAAAAGGGGATCTGGTCTACTGCAGTGTACGTATAACCAGAGTCAGCTCAAGGGCTTTCATGGAAATGCATAGTGTCACATGACCACCTCTGGATGCTCTTATAGAGCTCAATTCCAGGCCAGGGTTCACTGGCCTCATTTTGTCAGCTTCTACTACAGTTCAGAACAGTGTATATGTATATTCGTTTTGCCATCCGGACAACCCTCCGGGGCTCTGATCTCCAGACACTGCTGCTTTTCCTTGCTTAAAGCTGGTGCTCAGTGCCCTTTAGACTCTCATTTGGCTGAAATATATCCATTTTACTCAGGCAAGCTTTATTTCTCAATGGGTCATTTCTCCTTCTGCAGCCCTCTTAACTCCTGCCACTGGGATGTTCGCAGGACAGATGATCTGGCCTGGAGGGTTTGGCTGCTTTACTGCCCAAGTGTGGAATCCTGGATTACAGCCCTGGGAGGCTGACTTTCTTAGGATGCTTTTTCAATTTTCCCCTTGCCTGCTTGGAAGGAATGCTGAAATAAATAAGAACCCATAGCTATTTGCAAATTTGAATAATAGTAACAACTACTCCATTTCCAAAGTGTTCTCATGTTTACAAAGCTCTTTCTTCACAACAGGTGAGGCAGTTAAAAGAAACAACTCATACTTCTACACTGATTTTGTTTAAAGAGTTTTCCTTATAGCAATCCTGTGAAATATAGAGTCAGATTATTATCATCTCCTTTACTGATGAGGCTCAGAAAGTGGAAGTGACTTTTTCAGGGTTACAGAACTGGTTAGTGTCATAGCCTTAACCTGAACTTGGACTTAAAAAAGGTTTTTTTTTTTTAACATCAGATTGAATATCTTATCAGCATAGGGAGTCCCTAGTGAGAAATTTCCTATATCAATGCAGATGAATACTTTCTCTGCAACTTAGCATTATACAGTAATGTGTGCATGGGAGTAGACCACCCATACTGGAACACTCATATCTCTCACACAGGGCTGTCCCTGGGCTGGCTTGCTTGCTCTGAGCTGTGCCTTCTCATTGGCAGGTGTAGGTTACCAGTGAAGCACCACCACTATGAGGTTACCTTCAAATTCTCCCAGGGTTCTAGAAGTAACACTGTTGTGGGAGAATATATCTCCTTTACTCACCACTTTAGTTCTTGAGCTCCCACTGAAGCGTTTCCATTTGTACAAACAAGCTGTTCACAATGGTGAAGATTTTGGATCTTAAATATAACTGTTCACTTAACATGAAGCAAAAAGAAATAAAAATAACAGCAAAGGTACTCACGTGAAAGCAGATGCAGAAATAACACATAAACTTGGGTCACACTCACCCACCAATATACACAGTATCTGTGAGAGAGATCAGACACATACTTAAAGGAAGTTGGCCAGGTATCATGTGAGTGAGGAAAATCCATGTGCTTGAATTAACTCACTACTCAGGAACTATAAACTTCAGTGTCCGTTTTCTGTCTCAGGAACTCTCTATAAAAGTTACTTGATGAATGTAGCTCCTATGTTGAACAGATGCTTCTATTGGTAATCTGAGTTGATCCACATTGTGCTTGACTAACAGTCTTGCTGTGTTGGCATTAGGCAAATTAGTTGATCTGGTGGGTGATTTCTGTGCTTCTCTGTTTTTAATCTATTCTGCTCAGCTGCACTTACTGTAACATCAATACCAATTGTTTCATTTCCCCATTCAAGCTTAGCTGATACACTTCTGAATTGTAACCTTTCACCCTCTTCCTCTTTCTTCCCTTATATTTGTGGGTTCAAACTCTAGGTCCTCTCTGATAACCACTTAACTTCTGTTCAGTAATCAAGTTCTCATTTTCTGTTTATAATCAGTTAAATTATCTTTGTTGCTTAATCACAAATCGGTTCTGACACTCATGGTTCTCTAGTATACTGCAGCTTGTCAATTCAAAATGAACATCTGTTTCAGAAATCTGAGTCAAAGTTATTGTTTCTCTTAGAACAGAGGTGTCAAACACGTGGCCCTCAACAGTACCAAGTGTGGCCTGAACCCGATTAAAGTGTAATTAGGAAACATTTAATAAAACAAATAAGAATGCAACAGTATATAGATGACATATGGTTGTCTAAGTTAACATATGGCTCACAGGAATCCTCAAGTATGATCTGTTGGCCCCAATTTCTTTTTGACTTTGACAGTATTGTCTAAGAACTCTGAGTAAAGCAGATATAATTAACTTAGCCACAAATTGCTTCATATAAAAGGGTAGTGCTTTCTGATAGATCATAGATCTTGGGCAAAAAGAAACTTGAGAGGCCTTGTTGTTTAACTCTCTCATTTTACAATGAGGAAACTAAAGCCAAGGAAGGTTAGGGGACTTACCCAAGGTCACACAGGTAGATGTTGCGGGTTTAGATTCTGGCCTTTACCTTCTCTGCAGCCTGAGGTTCTTACCTTCTCTTATTCTTATTTTCCTCTTCTGTAAAAATAGTGATGACACTGGCACAACTTTTGCCCCAGGGTCTCAAGAGAATTAAATGAGACAGTGGTATCAAGATGCTTTGTTTCTGTAAAACACAAAGTGTGGGTTGTTACAACTATGTTATAATTAAAAATACTAACATATATCTGTGCTATAACTATCTAAAACATGAACTTGTAGTATAATCTTTCTGGTTAATGCTACCAAAATGGAACCATAAAAAATAAAGATGTGGATTCAAGGTGGTAGAGGAGTACTGAATTAGACATCTCTGATTACAATGTGGGAGAGGCATCCTGAATGGCTAAGGCTTTGGGGTTTATTCTGATTGATGTGGGGCCTTTTCTTCTCCACCAGCTTCTGTGACACTGCTGTCTCCTGGTTCACTTCATGCCTGTCTGATAGCCTCCTTTGCTCACTCATTGTGTGTTAGCATGAGGCTCTGTCTTGACCCCACCTTTATGCTCTCTCCATTGGTGATCTCGTCTGCTTCTATGGGTTTAATGATCATCTCTACTTAGATGATTCCCATATCCTCATACCTAGATTGAATTTCCCTTGGATTCTACCTGTGTTACCAAGGGCCTGCTGGACATCTTCACAACTTAACAGATCTAAAATGAAACTGCTTACCTCTTAAACCTATTCCCAGTTTTGGATGTTGCTACTTTCCCATTCTCTTAGATATTTTAACTCTGGAGTCATTCTAGAGATTTTCCAATTCCCACTGTCCTCCACACCTCCCATATCAAATACATCGCTAAGTTTTGTCTGTTTAACTCTGCAGCATGTCTTACCTACACTTTCCTCTCTCCATTCACATAGCAAGTTCTCATCATAGCTGCCTGAACAATTTTAACAGTCTCTTACCTGGTCTTTCTGCTTCCTTTCTTTCCTCTCCAAACCATCCTTTTCCCCAGAGGTGTTAAATATATGTGGCCACACATGTGGTCCATGACTCTGCTGGATTTGACCTGAACCAGATTAAAATGCATTTGGGAAATATAAAACAAAAATAAAACACAAATAATGTTAATTTGTGATTTTCTAATATGTGGCCCATGGGGAACCTTGTGTGTATACAGTTTAGTGGTCTCATTTCTATCTGAGTTTAATTGCTATAACACAACTGCCAAAATAAGCTTCCTTAGGCACAGATCTGACCAGGTCACTCCCCTGCTCTAGAACTTTCCATGGCACCCTATTGCCTCTAGGCTAAAACACAAACTCCTCAGAAAGTTCTTCATAGTCTGATTTAAATCTGTTTTTTCAAGCTTATTTTATAATACTGTCCTTTATACTCTGTGTTCCAATTAAACCAGACTCTTTGCTATTCCTTGGACTGGATACTCCATTTCCCACCTCTATGTATTTGTACAAACAGTCCCCCATGCTTAGAATGTACTCCTCCTTTCAAAAGTCTTGCAATAATAATAATAATTAGTATTTATATTGCTCTTTAAGGTATGCAAAGAACTTTACATGTTATCTCATTTGAGAGTCACCACAAACCTGTAGGCGCTATTAGGTAGCGTATATAGTTTAGGAATGTACTATTATTATCTCCATTTTACAGATGAGGAAACTGAGACAGACAGAGGTTAAGTGCCTTGCTCCTGATGACACACCTGGTGAATGTCTGAGGCAAGATTTGAACCCAGATAGGACTTCCTAACTCCAAATACAGCATGCTATGCACTGGACCACCCAGCTGCCTTTTTCTATCACTTTAAGGCACAGCATGGCTGTTGTGTCTTCTTTAAAGCCTTCCTTTATGCCCCCCAGTTGTTAATGATTTCTCCCTGATCAAAGTACCTCGTATTGATTTAACCTTGTGCAGGTTGTATTCCTCCCACCTAAACTCAGTCAATGTAAGCTCTCAAAGGGAAGGGGCTGTGTTGTTTTCATCTCTGAAACCTCAGTGTATCCAATGCACAAAGTAGATGCTTAACAAAGATTTTTTAATTGAATGAAATTGTAGGTAAAAAGCTACTAGCTGGTTTAGAATTTTGCGACCAGGTTTCTTAGAGTGATGCTCTCTGAGGACTGATGACAGGGTCAGTGATGCCTGATACATTTTATGTATCAAATTGAACCTGAGTTTAGAACCTTGCCATATCTTCGCTGGTTTTAATCATTATGAATATGTATGTGGAAGTAATCCCAGTGCTGGGTTTTATGTCTGCCCTTGACTCTTTTTCTGATGATGAAGTTGTGAATCTGACAGGTTCTATGTGTCTGAGATGGAGGAAACAGCTGCAGCCTTTCTTTCAGAGGGGTGTGTGTGTGTGTGTGTGTGTGTGTGTGTGTGTGTGTGTGTGTGTGTGTGTGTGTGTGTGTGTGTGACAAATGGGACTTTTTCAGCTTCAAATTTATGGTCTGGTGATTTGGTCCAGCCTTTCTAATGATCAACAGTAAAAATCTACTGCTGTATTTTACCTTTGAACCTCAGTTTCCTCATATATAAAATGGGAGGAGTAATAGGCTAGCTACCTCACAAGTCTCTTATGAAGCTGGGAGGAGATAATAGGTATGAAAATGCATTCAAATAGTAAAGGTTTTTACACATGTAAGTCCTCAAAATTGCAACTATATCATGCCTAAGGTTGTTCATTGTTCTCATGAAAACTGCAATCTATAATCTATCATCAGAGACAACAGGTATATACACAGACATGCAAGTATATATATTATATATACACACACATAGGTGTATATAATATACACATGCACATAGATATATGTAATATATACACATACACATATAGATTACATATAGATTTAGGTAATTATACATGCACATATAGGTATATGTAATATGTACACATAGGCATATGTAATATATATACCCACATATATAGGCATATGTTATATATAATACAAACACACATAGGTATGTATAATATACATATACATAGGTATGTTTTATATGTATCGTATGGGTATAAGTAATATACACACCTATATAGGTGTATATGGTATATATTTTTCTCTCTGTCTCTGTCTCTCAAAAGATGCCTCTCTGTGTGTATAGTTATTTTGGGGAGAAAGGAAAAAAATAATGGTGATTTTAAAAAAACTCCACGTCTAGATGTTGGCCCTTAAGCTGGGCTTTTAAGGAAACCAAGGCTGCTAAGACGTGGGGGTGAGGAAGGAATGACTTCCAGTCATGGCCGGGGGTGGGGGTGGATTAGGGTAGGAGGAAACCACTATGCAATAGCCTGGAGATGGGAGATAGTATATGAGGGACAACAAGAAGGCCAGTTTGGTAGTGACAACTTGATGAATAACATCATGTCATATGTGACACCCCACTCTTAACTCCAACTATTTCACAGCATTTCTTCTAAAATGTCTGTCTTCGAAGATCTAGCCCCTTTATATTACCAAGGAGAGACACTAGTTCTTTTGGGCCAAATACCTCAATCAACTTACCTTAAAGTACATGAGATAATTAATTCTTTGTAGATCATTTTAAGAATCAATTTCAGGTCCCCCCTGCATAGGACAATAAATTATAGTTTTCTCTGTGTAACCATTTGAATTGTAGGGGCTGGCAAGTTTCCCTGTTCATTCTTTAACCATCTTAGTGGTTTGTCTGTACAATACAGAGTCTGTTTTATATGATAAAAGGCTTGAACCACATGGTACCTGGAATTTCAGTCCTTCCATCTCCTTGGGCAGATAGGTGGCACAGGATAGAGCACCTGACTTGGAGTCAGGAAGACTTGAGTTCAAATCTAGGCTTAGATACTTACTAGTTTTGTGACCCTGGACAAGTCATTTAACCCTGTTTGCCTCAGTTTCCTCATCTGTAAAAATGAGCTGGAGAAGGAAATGGCAAACCACTCCAGTATCTCTGCCAAGAAAACCCCAAATGGGGTCATAAAGAGTTGGACACAATGATAACATCTCCCTGGGACGGTTTAACTACGAGAAAGTCAATCAAATAAAGGTTCTGACTTTCACAAAAGCCAAGAATGATTAGTAAGCAATATTCCTGGATTGAAGTTTCACAGTACCTAACAGATTCTAAGACATATAAAGGCTAGCTCTCATTTCTATGGCTCTTTATAGTTTAAAATGTGCTTTTCTTTGTTTTTTTAAATTAAATTTTTTTTAGA